GACCACACTCTGAGTAGAAAGGGCCTAGAGAGAAAACAGAAAATGCTTCAGGGCTGCAGGGAAACTGGCGGCTGGTGGGGCAGAGAAACACCTCCAGATCCACTCACTACCCGTCCTTCTCCCCAGATCAGGCAGAGCAATTCTGTTTTTAATCTGATTTTTATATCATTCTTTAAGGAAAATTTTTATTTGAAATAAGAATTCTGCTGCAGAACAAATCTTCTAAGCAAATGCATTACAGAAAATAGTCAACCTTTAAAGCGATATACTTGCAAACCTAATTCTAAATTAAATGTCATAGGGTAAATTAGTGTATGTGCAGGAAGGAGCTGGTGGATATTATGTTTTTAAACATTTTTAAAGCTTTACCATTTTCCGTATCGAATTAAATTTTCAAACATGAAACTGAAATGACGGTTGCTTGTTCCTGGAGACCTGGTTTGAAGTTGGAGAACAAACCTTCAGTTTCAACTGACACTTCAGTGCAAAAATTTTGCATTTCCTACTTCTTGTCTGAAATGAGATGGCTTATCCTTTTCCCATACTGCTTCCCTTTGGGCTCCATGGATCTGTAAGTCCATATTCGGCATTGGTCTATGATACCTTTCTTGGTAGGGATGAGATAAAGATGACTTAAGACAAATTCTCATGATCTCCTAATACCACAATTTTTATGTTCAGCCACTCACAATAATTCCCACCCTCCTTTTTCCACATCTCCATAATCAAAGAGACCCTACACTGAATCTTTCTGAACAACACCTCTGATGTCTGTCCCTTTGTTTCCATTTTTATGGCCACCAACTCAACTGAAGTCTTATTCAATTATTTGTGCACAATATAATATTTTCTGAACTGTTTGACTCAGAGGTCTCCCCTTTAAATGTCCCATTCTAATCCATCATTCCGACTAATATTTACACAACAGATGTTAATTTACCCTCCCGGTGCAAAAACATGGGTACTCCCTGCAGTCTATAGGAATAATGTCTAAACTCTTGTCCAGTGCTCAGGACCTTCAGCCAACTGATTCCCACTTGACTTTCCACCTCACCTTCTCAGGATCCTCCACCTAGTCAACTGGATTTTTGGGGGGCAGCTGGGGGGATTCAACCCCATGAATGCACATTCCTCTTTGCCTCCTCTGTGTTTCTGTGGTTGCTTTTGCACCATTCATGTAAAGAGAGAGACTTTCATTTTTCTATTTGCACCATTTTTAGAGCTGACTTGCACAAATGTATTTTTTTTTTAAAGAAAAAACATAATAAGAGCTCCAGGGGAAAGGAACATGCAGGTAAGAAAGGAGTTAATACACTCACCATTTAAGCTCTTTAGAGCTTTATTTTTTATTAGTATTATTTTAGATGAATGACTCCTTAGAAAGAAATAAAATTCCTTTTTCAAGGTAGCTAAGAAAAGACGGTGCAGTCTTGATTACATCAGAGTGGGAAACTGTTATAAGTGGCTATTATTTTCTCATAAAGTCTTATCATAATACCAGATACTTCAAATTTTACAAGTCCGTAAAGGCTAATCTTTTTTTTACTGTGCCTTCAATAGAGACCAGACTGGAAATGCATATGTTTTCCTGAAGTGAAAGTCGTTTCTAGAACAAGATTCCTCCTGTTCCATAATGGCAATATCTTCAAAATAGAAATATTTCTGTCCATATGATGTTGTAATTCCCAGGCATTTTCTGAATATTAATAGCAATACTTAAAATTTTTAACTATGATTTTTAAAATTATAGTTGATTTACAATATCATGTTAGTTTCAGATGTACAGCACAGTGATTCAGTTATACATATATATTATATACGTATATAATATATATATATTTTTAATTAAATATCATTTTAGGAAATTAAGAATGTATTATGTTTTGGTAATAACTCCCAAGGGGGTTTTCTTATGTTGGGTTCCCTAGAGGTAGACCCAGAAACGAGGATTTCATGCGCAAGTGGCTTATTCAGGAGGTGCTACCAAGAGAAAGTGACACAGGACAAGGAAAGGCGGAAGCCAAGCATGGCTGTAACCTCAGAGAAAGTTCTTTGCAGGGTAACATCAACCTTATCCCACATGATCTCTGGAACATGAGTGACACTTTGGAGTTTTCCCCAACCCACTGCAAGGGACTAGGTTTCATGCTCTTGGATCCATCAGTCTCCATCCAGGCAGGGGCTGGGAGTTTCTGGTGGTGGGCAGAACTCCCAAAGGTGTCTGTGGCTGCAGGTAAATCACGTGCAATAGCCCAAGGGCAGTCGTCGGAAAAAGAGTCACACTGGTGTGAGCTGTTGGAAGCCAAAAACACATTAAGGACAGAAAGAGATGCAGGAGAAGGGGCCGGAAGGAGTCTGGATGAAGCACCAGCAGTGGCCACTAGACAATACTTCCAATGTCTTGGAAACAGAAAGTTCCTATCGCAAGAAATTATTTGATCAATCAATAATGATTAAGAACAGTGTGACCATAGATGTGCTCTTACCTTCCCTTCATCTCAGCTTCTTCACCAAATAAATAAAAGTACCTAACTCAGGATTCTTATGAGTATTACGTAAAGTAATACACATAAAGGATTCTAATCACTGCATATAGTATCAAGTTAATAATTATTAATTTAATTTTTAAAAACCCCTTTGTATTTAATATTGTAATTTTATATTCTTGGGCAGTGACCCTCTCTTAGTGCCATAATAACTTTATACCAGATTCAAATTCTATGCAGAAGATAAGAATATTACCAGGCGATATGAAGAATATATTTTCAGTAACATATCAGGAGATTGCTAAAGTGCATAAGAAAAGGAAGGGAAAGAGAGCTTGGTCATACATAATGGAAACAAAAATATAACTCATTTTGACACTGATGTAGAAAAAGGTTAGAGCTAGAAACTTGGACACCATCTGAATTTATCATTTTGCCTCATTTTAAACTCTAAATTCACCTATAGGTCAAGGAGATCTCCATCCTTTGTAGGAATAGTTATGGAAAAAAAGCATCAACCAAATTTGGTGGAAAGAAAGAAATAGTAACCAAAAAAGCAATATATTCAAACTTGGGAGCAAGAGAGCCAATGTAAATATGCTGATGTTCATGCCACTTCCTGTCTGCGGGTGATAACTTCCTGTCTCTGACTCAGGGGTTTCATGTCTTCTACCACCCATGAAACAGCAACAAGCTAACTTCCTAGCTTTAAAGTAGGGTAAAATCAAATTCCAGACCCAACAAAGCCTCAGTATAGGATACTTTAAAGATTGCATTAGTTGCATCAGTTGTGCAGTTTTCCCAAACGATTACCATTTAAGACCAGAAAGTTGAAAACATCCTTGAGAAAGATCAGTGTGGTCATTCCTCACTATTCTAGCCTTGCTTTTAGTATCCTTTCACAAAGAGTAAAACACTATCAGAAGAAGTAAAAAACATGTCACGGCCCTCAGTCTCCCACACCCTCAGAGCCATGTGAAGCCCCGCCCCCAGAAGGCTACAATTGTGTCTTTAACTTTTGGAAGGGTCCCTGCGGGAGGTTTCAGGCAAGCTGATAGCTTGCGTTTCCATCCAGTCCCTTCCAGCTTTCTTTGGCCATGGACTCAATCTTTCGACATGAATTAAGCTTTGTAGATCAGAGCTCCTATAGTACTCAGACATCCAAATTGTTAACAGACAGCCTTAGAAACTAAAATACAGGCTGAATGAAAGCTGATAACGTGAGTCTCAAGCCGCAGCTCCTCTGCTTTCTTCTTGAATATGGCATTGGTGGCCATCCTAGTTTTCTTCCCTCCCAGGCTGACCATTGATGAAACCCAACCATTTTCTCCTAACAATGCCACAATTGTGGAGCTGGCATTTTTATGTAAATAGCTGTTCTCTGATTCATTAAGCCCCACTGCCCCTGACATTTTCCTTTCTGACCCTTATCAGACACACACTGGCAAAACATGAAGAAATAAAGAGGACAAAGAAAGGCAATAAAAGGGTTACAACCAAGAAGTGTATTGTGACTGTGACCAACAAGGAAATTCGGAAACGGGTGACTGAACACCCAAGGATACCCTGTCAGCTGGTCACAGCGACAACATTTGTTCAAAACCTGACAAGTGCTTTGCATCATTTCAAGGTGTCACATAGAGATACATAGGAAATGACAGTCATAGATGCTACCTGAAGAGCACGTAAAGTGTAATAGACAATATGGCACAATTAAACACCTGTGTACCCAGAAACATACAATCTGGCCCTTGCTTACCTCTCTACTTACTCTTTATTTTTCTCATAGCCCCTGTCACAAGATGCAAGGTTTAGTTTATATATTTGTGTTCTTGATTATTATGGTTCCCCAGAGATGAGATTTGTCTGGTATGCAACAGTGTCCATTCCAATCAATCTCACCCACTGGAACAGAAATTCCAGGGGAACAGGGACCATGTCTACCTTATTCACCATTGTAATCCCAGAGCCTAGCAAAATGCACCTTGTAAATTCTCAAAAAATTTTTTTTAAATAAATAAGTAAAACATTAAATAAATAAATAAATAAAACCAGCGACAGCTATATAGAGAGATTATATAACTTCATCTTCTGAATGCCGCTACTAACACGATTACACAAAATTGAGCGAGAACTTGGGTCACAGGCATGAGCAAAATTTTCAAAGAGTTTAGATGGGAAAAAACTTTCTAGACCCTGGGGCAGCTGCCCTGAAACAAACCACAGATATATAAGTGAGCACAGCCAAGATCAGCAGAACTTCCTAGCTGACTTATAGATTTGTGAGTTACTGAATTGTAGAGCGGTTTGGTTTGTGGCATTATTGTACCAATAACTAACTAATATTAAAGTCTACTAAAGTAATAACAATTAATTACCAGCAGAACAAACATTAAAATGCAAAGAGGATTCATCTTTTTTGAAATAGAAAGTATTTCTAGTTAAATTATTTGGTTCCTCCATAGCCTCAAACACCTTTCATGCAGCCATATCCACGTCACTGGGGCTGAGCAGGCCTAGGTAGGATGCACCTACAGAAGAAACATGAAGGACATCAGCAAGCTCAGCACCACAGCAGTAGATGTCACCTTTCCAGCACTGTTTGAATACCAGTATTTCTCATACACATTATCCAGGACTGAAAGCACAGCCTCCACGGTTTCCTCGCAGGTGGCCTGAATCTGAGTTTCTGGCAGGACAAACTCATATGTACCCATATGTCCCTCAGCTCAAATGCATATGAGAAGGGGATCCCAATGTCCCAAGCCCAGTCTCATGAAAACCCTGAAGTGCCATCTACAAATGAAAACATGGAGGAAGAGTTAGAAGTTATTCTGTGAAAGGACAGATTTCTACAGCCATTTCAGGGACTAAAGTTCAACCCAGCAAAATAAATCAACTCTTTCATGTTAGGATCTATGAATAGCTGCCTTCTCTCTCTCCTTGACATTTTCCGCTTCTGTCTCCACTCACCATCCCCACTATACCTGGCATTATGCCTGGCACATCTATCCCCACAATGCCTGGCATCACGCCTGGCACATAGCAGAGGTTTGGTTAAAGTTTCTCAGCTGAATCAAAGACAAGACAATCTGATATTGGAAGATAAGATTCAACTGACCTGTAAAGGAACAGAAACAAAATGACCAATATCACTAAAATGATGATATTAGGAAAATATCATCGCGGTTGTCCTTCAGTGGGTGGAGGAGGGGGTGCTTGGGGATGGGGAAAGCAATGCACTCTCCTTTCAACTAAATCCTTTTTTTTTTTAAACTCCAGGCCCCACCTGTTTTGCCTGATGGTCCTCTGGGAACTGAATCAACTGACCAAGGGTCACTGGAAAATGTCTTTCCTGTTAACTCCTGTGCCTTCTCCCTGCCAGTTCTTTTTAACTGAAGCCAGAGGGAGTACTGGTCTGAGCCAGTGTATTAATTTTTGCTTTTAGCTCACACCTTATCCCTAGAGAGCACAATTCTGGATTTGTACAGACTCCCTTTTATCCCTGGTCATTTTGATTTGTACAACTTCCTGTTGATCCGAGGAACTCTTCTATCCTGTCCACTCCAGTCTCCAAAGTCCACTGAATTCTTTTGTGCTTTAGATACTATTGAAGAGGTGAAAAAAAGATACTTATATAAAATATCTGCACTAGATCCAACTCTATAATTGGTTCCATGCTTTGCTTTCAATGCATTTGCTGCCTTCTGTCCAACTTGGATCTGTAGGTGGGAAATGCAGAGACAGATATCTGGTGTTAAAAATAAATCCAACAATTCAGAGCATTTGCTACTTTGTCCAAATCCATCCTCAGAGTTCCAGATCATCTTTCTAACTTCCCATTGAACATCTATACCTGGGTAGTCTTCTGATACTTTAGACTCAACATACTCATATCCAATTTTATCATCTCCCCCACTAATAAGGCTGTTTTGATTTTCATAGTTCTGACCTATCATGTGCCCACAACATGTAAATTCCTACAATCATCTTTGACTCTTCTCTCAAACAGTTACCAAGTTGCATTTCTAATGCCATCACCCTATTTCAGTCTTATTAACTCTGAAATGGACTGCTGTCATCTTCTAATAAGTTTTCCTTCCTCTTGCCAATCCTTAATCCCGATTGATCTCCCTGACTTCCAGGTGAACCTTTGTAGAGCAGGACAATGATAATGATCCTGCTGAAAACCTTCAATAACTCTCAGTTACCCACTGCATTTGTATGAACTTCTCAGTCTACTATTTGAGATCCTCTACGATAGGGATCCAACCCACATTTCCAACACCATATTCTCTAGATCCCACCCTAGATTACAGTCAAACTCAAGTTCTCCCACAGTTGCTCAGACATGCCCCATGTTCCTCAGCCTCTCCGCCTTTTCTCAGGATATTTCCTCTACTTGGGATGCCTTACCTCTTCTCTGTTGAAATTCTACGCAAACTCAAAGAACCTTCTCAAATGCTAAGTTCTCCATAGGCATTTCTTGAGCACCCTAAGTGGATTCTCTCTCCCCACTTTTTTCTCCCATAGCCCTTTGCTCATGCTTCCCTTATTACTTCTCTCTTGTTTTTCCTTAAAGGTATTTGATACTTATCTCTCATAGGCTCATAGATTTTCAGAGCAGAAAACGACACACTTCCTTCTACCTACCCCCATGTCACCTTACTGAATTGGAAATCCTTCAGAACTAGATGATTTCTAAGGTCTCAGCCTTGCTCTCTTCAGACCCTTTCCTGAGATCAGAGTCTCTAACTGAGGTCCAAGTATATTGGCTATATTTATTGACTGTCTGATAAATCTCCTTGCATACCCTTTTGATAGTCTAAGTATTCCCTACCCTAGATTCCCTAATGCTATATTCTACCCACCCAATGGTGTATCCCACTACTTCCCCTTGGAGTCTATACAAACACCACCAAAATCCCCTTGGCCACTCCCTGCCTGGATCCACAATTGCTTTACCCTTGAGGGCAGCCTGACTACACTTACAGGTACATCAGCTCCCTTGACTTCTTCCCCTGACCAGTGACAGACCTAGTTTTAGATTCTGTCTCTCTTTTCCTGGTCCTGTATTGTCTGACTGAATCCCAAGGTGTGACAAGGTGGTGTCTGGTTAGAGTGGGGATAGGCACAGTGAAATTCAAAAGGAAGACTAGGAGAGGTAATAAGTGGTTATGGGGTCCTGTGCAGCAGTAGGACTTTGCACTTTCTGTGTGTGTGCTAAGATTCAACATTAAACATATTTGCAAGCTTTTTGACTCCTCTCCACTCACTACTAAGAGTTTTACCTTCTCCTTCTCTTCCTGTAAAGAGATTCTGTGTCTGCCCTAGTTGCTGGGCTTGTGTTGTCCAGAACTGAGATGATGGGCAGGAAGGGCTAAAGAAGTACAAGGAATAAAGCTGGTTTTAATCATTTACACTGGGAAGAGGTACAAGAGCTGTTTGTAGAAAGAAGGGGAAATTATAAGAAGGAAAGGAGAGTCAGAAAGGGGATTTCTGGAGAGAGAAATTCCAGTAAGGAAATAAGAATGAAGAGTGGAGAGAAAGGGTTCAGGGTAGCTGCTGTGTGTGAGTGAAATTAAGAGCATGAAGCCTAGAGAAAGAGTTGCTAAGAAATAGCAACTACATCCTTTTTGAAGTTCTTTGAGAGTCTCTGGTAGAGATATGAATTGCTTTTAATTATTTTTAATTCCCATGTGTTTCTGTGTTTCTTTGAGTGAAACTCCATGTTAACTGGTCTTAACTGTAATTTGGGTTACATGGAACAGCTCCAGGCTACATTTTCTATTCAAATGGTTTCTTGCATTCTTTTTTCTTTCCTGCAGCTCACCCCAGATCATGATTCTTCTTCCCACTGCCAACCTTCACTTATTTATCCTATATTGCTCCCTTTCCTCAAATCTTGGCTGTGGGGAGGGAAAGAGTCTCCCAGTTTCCTCTTCTTTATTGACAAAAGAACTTTTGATTTTTTTTTTTTAATGATTCCACAAGCAATTACCATGGGCGAGTAGATAGGAGTAAGAAATATAACATATATGATAAGCACACAGTTGTGATCCTTAGCTTATGGGTTTGGTCCTTTCTGAGAAGATGAAATGAAGATTCCCCTAGACTCTGCCTTCTATCTCAAAGGGTCAAACTCCTGACTATTCTTCTCTTTCCTTTTGACACTATATTGCAAGGCCATAGAGAGCCAATTGCTCTGCTGTCCTTCTTAGTCAAAATAATAAAAACCCTTTGCTAGTAGTGCATAATTTACATTGTTAAAGACCTCATGCCTGCTTAATAACTTCTTCGCTGGGCCCAGAGAATTTCCTGTAGACATATATTCACAGGCAAGCACTCAAAAAGATTGATTAAGGCCCTGGCATGGGTGTGGGAGGATGGAGCTTGGAATGGGATACAGGGGCTGATATGGAAAGGGTTCCAATGCAAAGAATATCAGCATTTGAAACATTAGATTTCTTATAGCTATTCTCATTTCCAGAGCAGTTTAGAATGAGGGTATATATAGTTCTGTTTCCCCTACTTAGTGATTGCCAAGTTGTCTATCATACAGTATAATATTTATGAAGATTTCTACAAATTTTTGGTTTTGTAAATACATAGAGATTAATTACTAGTCTCTGGTGGTTGTAAATATACCAGAAATGGAAAACTCCTTGAACAGTTGGTGTGATTCTATCTTTGTGTACTCTATCAAAGCTTATCACTAAGAACCTAAAAACACTGCTAACTAGCTTTTATGAGTTTGATACATGGTGGCAACATTTTCAGTCTTTTTATGGAAAAGTCTTAGTGATGAATGTTATGCTAACTCTTCAACACCTAAGGCGGTAAGAGATACAGAATTGAAGCAATCTTTCTCAATTCAATTTTCCAGTCTCTACATAGAGTATTGAGGATGGCCAGTAATTCCCATCTTCGAATTCCACCTTCTGGTAACGGCAATGCCAGTGCCCCCTCTGTGGCCAGAGGGCTCTAATGAGACAGCCAATCAGCAGCCCAAGACCCTGTGACATTTGAATACAAACCTTGCAAAAACGGAGATGTAGTAACTGCTTTCCTGAACCTAAAAAGGAAATGAAATTCTCTAGAAAAATACTGGAGTATATAGACCTCTTTTCTTCTGCTGGTAGAAGGCCTGTCCCATCAAATATCTATAATGGCCTGACTTAGGTGGTTCATTTGTGTTTGTCACAGAATCCTTTAAGCAGAAAGTAAACATTTATGGCAGATATCACAGGAATTGGGAAGTAAGGAGGGTTCTGGGCTTCTTGACTAAAATTTCTGTTTCTGTACATTTCTTTACTGAAGAAATAGAACTTCTGGCACAGAAATGAGGAGGATATAGGACACAGTGGACTGGGCATCTAAGTCGATGACAGCTTCCAGAAGTTGCAAACCCTTCCTGAGCGGAGAGAGGCAGTGTTCTGTGGTCAGATGAACGTGGCCTCTGGAGTCCAAAGACACGAGTTCCAAGCCCAGACTCCAACATTTACTGTCTACAGGGACTTTAGAAATATAATTAACTCAAGGTCTTAATTTCTACATCTCCAAAATGAGCTTATTATATTGTCATGAGGATCAGATGAAGTAATGGCCATAAAATCTCTTTGTAATTTTTAAAGTTATAGGTAAATGTTATCTCCACCTCTTGCAAAATGATCACATAGTACAAATGTCCAAAAACAATTGCAGGAAAGATATTGGGGTACAGACAGATATTTTTGACTGCTGGGGGGAAGAGCTGCCTTCAGCAAAGATCTATAGTGGTTTTTCTTTTAGTGCCCAGACCTGTGTTTTGTGGGTGATGTTCCAGTGGGAGAGGGACAAGAGGAATGACAGAGCCAATGGGCCACCAGCCTTCTGTGATCTTAAGAACAGAGCAAGATTAGCCCCTATCCAGCCCAGCATTTATTGATAATGAGGAGCTTGTTTTAAAAAACAATTTTTTAAAGATATGCAGAAAATAACAAGTGTTCGTGAGAATGTGGAGAAACTGGAACTCTAATTCACTATTGGAAAGAACAGAAAATGGTGTACTTGCTGTAGAATATAGTACGATGGTTCCTCAAAAAGTTGAAAATAGAATTACCATATGATTCAGCAATTCTACTGCTGAGTATATACCCCAAAGAGTTGAAAGTGGGATCTCAAGGTGATATTTGTACACCTATGTTCATAGCTGTATTATTTGCAGTAGGCAAAAGGTGGAAACAATTCAAATGACCGTTGATGGATGAATGGATAAAGAAAATGTGGTATATACATAACAATGGAATATTAGTCAGCCTTAAAAAACAAAAAGGAAATTCTGACACATGGTACAACAGGTGTGAAGCTTGAAGACTTTATGCTAAGTGAAATAAGCCCGTCACAAAAAGATAGATACTGTATGATTCCACTTACATGAGGTAACTAGAATAGTCAGACTCATAGAGACAGAAAGTAGAATGGTGGTTGCCAGGGACAAGGGGGATGTGGATTTTTTGTTTAATGGGTAGAGACATTTCAATGATGCAAGATGAAAGTTTTGGAGATTGGTTGCACAATAACATGAATATACTTAACACTACTGTACTGTCCACTTAAAAATGGTTAAGACGGTACATTTTATATTATGTATATTTTACCACAATTAAAAACTGAAAAAATAACTTTTAAGAAAAGATAACAAATAACTACAACAATTCTAAATTGACCCTTTCTTTGACTTAGTTCTATTGTTCTCAGGTTCACAAAAAGGCAAAGAGCCCAGTCCTTTTCAATAATTCTGCCCACCAGGACTTGGGTAAACATAGCATCAGAGAAGGACCCTGGATAAGACAAAGCAGACTTTCCCTGCCCCAGCTTGAATTTCACTGGCACTTCCCCTTACAAATATTCCTAGGCAAATACTAGAGGCATAGTTTAGAAGAAAATAAAGCATTGTGTTTAGCAGAGAAGAGAGCAGATGTTATTTAGCCGTGTTATTTTAGATATGCCATATTCCACTAACAGCTGGGAAGTTCTTTAAAGCACGGTTCAAAAGCTATAATTGCTGAACGGAGCTTCAAGAGAATTTACAGAAATGAAAGCGCATTCCTGCAGATTATTAACATAATCATCTCACTTATATTATACACGAATACCTAAGATGTCTCCCAACTTGACACTTTTTGAAATAGGTAGTTAATTAACGCAGGTAAAGCAGCATTTAACCTGAAGCCTTCCCAGCAGGCGTCTGGCAAGGTGTGAAAAGCAGGAGAAAGGAAATAAGGAAAAGCAAAGGGAACAAAAGCGAGGCTGGAGCCAAAACCCTAGAAATGGGAATCAGGAAAGGAAGGCAGGGTCGTGCTGAGGCTTCTCAAGGCTCTGGCTCAATGGTCTTACCAGTTCTTCATGGTTACTTGATTTATTTTTGGTGTAGCCATAAGGCATGAGGATGAGCTGCCCGTAAGAGCGCATGGTCAGGAAGCAGGCAATGTTCTCCTTCCTGCTCTCGATAAAGCTGGAAACAACTTTAGTCTCTGGTTCAGACATGGGTCCTGTCCCACAGAATGTTAAATCTTGGCAGTTGTGAGATGCACCGATACCTGAAATATACAGGAAACCCCAAGGAAGGCATCACGATCTCCGTTTAGCACTGACCAAGGTCAAGGAGTCAGCCTTGCTCAGGACATCTGTGGGTGGAATTAAGGCTTGCCTTTGCTTGTCTAATTTTGTCCTGCTAAAATAAGTCATTCAAGGAGGAACTCAGGAAGGCAGGAGGACTGACGTGCAGATTTAGAAACAGACCCCTGCTTATGTGGCCCGGGAAGGAAGATGCAAAATGGAATGGCATTTTCAGTAATCTTTCACTTAAACCTCTGGTGGTCCCTGAAACAAATGCTTGGGAACCTGTTCTTGGGTTCCAGGTCACACTCTGTTATAGTCTTGTTGCCCTAAGTATATCTCTTGCTGTCTTACTGGCTTGAGTCTCATTAGAGCTATTTCGCAAGGACAAAAAAAACACAAAAAGCTATTTTGTAGTCTGTCCTTCTCACCAGTAATAATAAGGACCATCAACAGAGCACCTTTTACATGCAGGGCACTGTGCTAAGCCCCTCCTGTGTGGCATCTCATTGAATCTCCACAACAACTTACTGATAAGATGGTATTACTCTGAGCCACGTTTTAAAAATAAGAGAAAACTAAAGCCTAGAGATGAAGCAATTTTTTCAAGACCACAGAGCTGCCAAGTCTGAATGTTAACCTTTCCCATCTGGTTTTTAACCAGGCTGCTCTTAACCATCCCTACCTCTATTTGCTTCCAATCCATTGGACTTGTTGAGATTCAGAAACATGAAACTGCCTTAAGGAGAAGAAAATGTTTGCCTTGTTTACTTCTGCCCTCCTGCTGTAAAATAATTTGCAAGGATACTTCTCTGATTTTTCTTTATAACAATTCGTATATTTTAAAACCAAGTGATGGATTTCAAAAATATTCACACTGGTCTAGGTCTTCTTTGCCCTTGTGTAGCCAGTCTCACTTGAAAAGAGTCCTGCATTTCAGTGTTGCTGTTCTTACTGTATAGATAATATCACCTCTTTAGAGGGAGTAACACTGACCAGGAAGTCCAGAAAGCTGTACAGAATTAGATGTTTATTTCAAAAGATATATATAAAAATAGTACTAATTCTAGTAATTCACCTCTTTTCTGGCTTCTCTTCTCCATTTTTTGTGTGTGTCATTATTCATCGATTCATCTACGAAGCATGTACTTAACTACACCAGGATGCATTGAAATTTCTATTGAGATCTGTCCCAAAACACATGCCATTATTATGGGATGAACGGGATTTCCTCCAAAGCCGATCCTGTAACAGAGGAACATAGGGAAGTTGCCATTCTAAGGTCTCATGAATCACAGTGTTAGTGATGATGGGTGGTCCTCGGACGTGAAAAATGGTTCCTTAGGATTGTCTGGAAAAATTGCCTCAACATTCTGAAGCTTGTGCATATAAGTTTTAGTCCCCCAGATGGGCTAGCCACCCCCAATACAGGAACATCTGTACAACCCAAAGTGTATATACGTGTAAACCATCAAATTGGAGGGGTAGTTTGGCCTTTCCTTCACGAGATTAACAGTGCCTGGTGGGCGTGATCTGCTTAATCAGGAAAAGCTTCAGAGAGTCATTATTTTATGTCCAAGTGATAAAGGACGAAAGGGAAATAGCTTGGCAGATGGGAAAAGGCTGTTCCAGGTGCATCAGAGATGGTCCCTGCACATTTCTGGAAGCAGAAGACTGATGAGTAGAGACAGGGATAAAGACCTGTTTCGCCAGACAAGGTGGGAGGGAAGGGCTTGATTCACATACCGGGCCAGAAAGTCTGTTACAGAGAAAGGGGTCCCACGAAGGGCTGGGGGAGCCAGGGTGGGGGAGGGGGAGGAATTCAAGGCTCTTAATTATGGAGCGGTATGATTTAGAACCTTTTTTTTTGCAGTACGCGGGCCTCTCACCGTTGTGGCCTCTCCCGTTGCGGAGCACAGGATCCGGACGCGCAGGCTCAGCGGCCATGGCTCACGGGCCCAGCCGCTCCGCGGCATGTGGGATCTTCCCGGACCGGGGCACGAACCCGTGTCCCCTGCATCGGCAGGCGGACCCTCAACCACTGCGCCACCAGGGAAGCCCCTAGAAACATTTTTAAAGAGGAAGTTGTCACTAAATAAAAATCTTTATGAGATGTTTCCCCTCCTCAACTCCTCCGTATGCATGACCACCATGAAAAATGAAGGTTGGGTTAGTATTTATAGATCATTTGTGCCCTTCATGCTTCTAGAACTGATATAAGGATACAGGGTAGTATAGGAATTTTATACCAGCATAATCCTAACCATGTGGCAGGCAATCCACAAATTTTAAGGAGGTGGTGTTGGAGAAACATTGAGTCTGACTGAAAAACTGGGAATATGTCAAAAACAACCAGACAAACAACGTGCTCTGGACTGCAAAAAAGGCCTTCAGCCTCCTCAGTCCTAAACTTGTCTTAGGTTATTGACTTAAAAATGTTGATTTTTATCCCAAATGAGGTTTATTCCTTTACACGACTACAACACTTTTTTTTTTTTTTTGCGGTACGCGGGCCTCTCACTGCTGTGGCCTCTCCCGTTGCGGAGCACAGGCTCCGGACGCGCAGGCTCAGCGGCCATGGCTCACGGGCCCAGGCGCTCCGCGGCTCCCGGACCCGGGCACAAACACGTGTCCTCTGCATCGGCAGGCGGACTCTCAACCACTGCGCCACTAGGGAAGCCCTACAAAACATTTTTATAGCTGCAGTCACTGCAGTGACTGAGGTCAGAAAAATGAACCCGAGACAAGATCTAGTTCATGAACCCATCCCAGGACCAAACTCGATGTACTCACCGTTGTCCAAGTATAGATGTAACCATCTATGTTAAGAACCGGAAGCACATAGAAGTCCAGGTTTTTAAGGAGACTTCTTATCCTTGAGTTGTCTTTATAGTTCTGTAGAATCTGGATATTTAATAGAGAAACATTTGGAATGATCCTGGGAAGAGGTCTTTTCTCTCTTAATTTTCTAACAATTTCAACTTAATCATAAGTGGTGACTGAACATCCAACCTTTGCCATCCAATCCTGCCTCAACTGTCCCGTTCGTTATGGTGGTCTTTCTGAAACTTCACCATGCATCAGAATCACCTGGAGGACTTTTTTTTTTTTTAATTTTTGGCTGTGTTGGGTCTTCGTTGCTGCGCTGAGGTTTTCTCTAGTTGCGGCAAGCGGGGGCTACTCTTCCTTGTGGGCGTGGGCTTCTCATTGCATTGGCTTTTCTTGCTGGAGGAATTTTAAAATTACAGCCTGCCCACCCTCCATCTCCACCCCCAGCCCCAATGCAGTAGGTATGAGGTGGTGATGTGGAAACCCAGAATTTGCATTTCTTCCAAGTTCCCAGTTATGCTGATGCTATGGGTCTAGGAACCACACTTTGAGAGCTATAATTTGTGGGTTGAATTTTGGGTTTCTGAAAAGACTGACACAAAAAGTATCTTATATTAATTTTAAAGTTTTCTTATTCCCTCAAAGGAGGGATATAGGTAATACGCAAGAATTCACGGTGCCAGGTAGTTTCCATGTGTTAATCTCTTAATCCACACAATAGTGTGTTCTTCATGATTACGTTGAAGTAGTCATTTCATACACCTTTTGCAGGTAAAAAACTAGGGGTCCTAGTGATAGAAATTTTGCACAAGACTATTAGAAAGAGCTCCAGGATTCAAACTCATCTCTGGCTTCCAAGATGTATTTTCTTCTCCATTTAGATTTGTTTACCTTCCAATAAAGATAATTTTGGGTGCGTTAGAAAGAGAACAGAACAATTAACTCAGTTTTCAGTGAAGCTACTTATGAATTCCATTTCCCTTGGGGTGAAGGAGCAGCTCAGTGGAGAGCTGCCTTGCCAAGATGTGAAAGAAACCTGCTTTCCAAAGCCGAGACATGACAGGTATTTTGTGGGGTGGTTAACCATTATGAGAAAGTGAAAGACACATTCTTTCACAGACCACTGGCAAAAAGCAGGGGCACTCCATTCCCTGGAATGAATTCCACAGTCCATCCAGATAATCTTCTTGGGGTTATTGGATGGTTGGCGGATCTGGAGGAGACATTCATATTTCATTATCAAACAATGGCTTGTGATTGGGGCCACCGAGCAAAGTTATCAGGTTGTTTTATTCCCCTAGAGGTACCTGTCTCCTTCCACTCTGTGGTTTCAAGGATGAGGCAAGGATGCTGGCAGAGACACCCACCAATATGACCCTTCTGTTGGCCCTGCCGCCAACCGCCTCCTGCGGTTACCTTGGCTATTGTTCTTAGGACCACAAGCTGACACCTCCGTGTACCCCATGCAAAGCCTGGTCTTCCCCATATCCTAAATTATTCCCTAACTTTAAATAAACGCATAAACCACAAACTGAGAGGCTAAATCTCCATAAACCTTATAAAACCTTACCACATAGGACTGACTCAGAGTGGTAAAGTGCACAAGTGGTAATGTGCATGACTCAAAGGTAGTAAAACTGAACCCCAGTCTACATTTAAGCTTCCTGAAACTGTGAAAGGATCCAAATGCATAATCTCCTGCGATACTTATTACATTCATTACATTCCTCTTTCCTTAGAGACTCCTGCAGTCCCAGCTGACCCAATCTTCTTTCTCCTCTCCCCATTTGTTGTTCTTGTACTCACTCAAGAAAGAAAAATTCCCTCCTCTTTCAGAGGTGGGATAGGTAGGAATTAACCTGGCAATTACGGATTCTCTTTGGTGGAGAAGAAGCTGTGAACACGCCCATGTTTGTCACAGTCACATCTTGTTTTGGTTTGTAAATGGCCTGGACCCATGCTATTCACTGGAAGCTCTTGGGAGCTGGGCTGATGAAGGCTCTCCCTCTATATCTGTGAGAAACTTACGAATTGAAATAAATATGGGCTGGATTCATCATATTCAAGGAAGTTTTCCCTTTTAGCCTCACCCATTTTCAAAGCTCCTGGCATAATTCCTAATCTACCCTTTACCTTAATTCTCTCTTGTAATCACCCCTTTTATTTATGAGTCTATGTAGATGACCATATGTTTATCTTTATTGCCTCCTCGTTATGTGTCAATTCTATTCTTTAAAATACGTCCTAGGCAAAGGATGTTTAGAGGTCTTTTTGGCTGACTCAGCTCAGAGTTTGACGGCCTATGGAAAAATCAGGCTGGTAGGTGGCCCACACTTAATATATCAACCAATTGCTCACTCGGCTCCTGGGTAAATTCTACTTCAGAGCCACAAGATTTTTTTGTAGTTGTTAGTAATTCTTGAATTTGGGGATGTGCTTTGTAAATTAACGTGTCTACAGTGAATAAAGTAATGCTAGTTCTTAATGCCAAACTACTTTGGCAGTGGTTCTTAAAGAGTAGTCCTGGACCAGCGATATCAGCACCACCTGGGAACTTGTTAGAAATGCACTGTTTCTCTGTAACATGAGTGTGCATCAGAATGACCTGGAGGAGGGCTTGTTAAAACACAGATTGCTGGGCCCACCCGCAGAGTTGCTGATTCAGTAGATCTGTAGTTAGACCCCCCAAGAATGTGCATTTCTAACAAGTTCCCAGGAGATGTTGATGCTGCTGGTCGAGGGACCACCCTTTGAAAACCACTGGTTAGGTGCAGTTGTTGTCAACTCTGCCTACACAGTAGGATCACCTAGGGAGCTTTCAAAAGGTGTCTGGGCCCCATCCTGGAGCAATTAGCTCAGAATCTCTGTGGATGGGGCCCAGGCGTCAGTATTAAGCAGCCAGGATTGAAAAATCACTGTTCTAAAACTGAGAGCCAAGAAGGCCTGGCCCTGTGGAAAAGTGGTTATTCAGTCTCAAACACTTTTCATCGTATCACATGTTAAAAGGGCAGAGAGCCTGGAGATTGGGTTATCCCTTTGGCTATGCTACGGTCTGGCTGTGTGACCTCGTACAAGTCACTTCACTTCTCTGGGTCTTTGTTTCCTTATAAAATGAAGGAACCAAAAATAAAGGTTGTCCATGATGTTCAAACATTTTTATGGGGAAAAAAAAATGTGTTAAAAAAGAAAATTTTGTAAAAACTCAAAATACATATGAGAAGTGAACTGGGGATTTCTCCCTTATGCAGCCCCCCCACCCCGTCCCCCTTCCGCTGTGGGAGCACCGGAGGCACACAGGTCTTCACAGAGCACAAGCTGGAAACCTCTCAGCCAGAACGTCTAAGGTCCTTTCCAGCCACTCTCCACGATTCTAAGTTCCTCAGTCTTAGCGGGGACGAGGGAGGCCAAGCGTGAAGAAAACTAAGGGATAAGTTCTTACTTCTGGGACTTTATTTTTAAGTCCTACCCCTGTGGTCTCACCCAACCATTCCAAATTCTCTTTACTCCAGAACATGATTCCACCCTCATGATTAAGATGTAAGCATTTACAAGTATTTAATTTTTAAAAAATGTTTATTGGAGTATAATTGATTTACAATGTTGTGTTAGTTTCAGGTGCACAGCAAAGTGAATCTGTTATATAAATACATATGGATATATGTATTTGGACTCTTTTTTAGATTCTTTTCCCATATAGGTCATTACAGAGCACTGAGTAGAGTTCCCTGTGCTATACAGTAGGTCCTTATTAGCTATCTATTTTATATATAGTAGTGTGTATATGTCAATCCCAATCTCCCAATTTATCCCTCCCCACCAAGTTTTGAATTTTAAAATCAAGACTTTGGAAAAGCCAAGTCTCTCTGTCTTGCCTCTTTTAACCTTGTCTATACTTCTGACTAGAGCCCCTGGATAGTAAATAAATATCCTTGAGTGGGACTCTAATTCTCAGCCTTCTCACTCACCTTCAAATAATACATGGGCCGGCTCTCATAGGTCATTCCTAGGAAATGCTATGTCACCACTTCCGTGTACTTCTCCCTTATCTCACTCATCCACTGATAGATCTGAAACAGCCAGGGAGGACTGAGGTTATCAATAAGAAGATCCTTTGCTTGCCTCTAAATTAAGATAATTGCTTCTTTCATCAAGATACTGAACTCTGAACTCTTCGCTCTTTATTAGCACACAAACTAGAAGACTAAACTAATGAATTATGACCTCCCCTCCTCCCATATTCTTTAAAGATCTACTCTGCCACCCAAGCTTAGGACACCCTGTTGAACTTTACAAATAAATGATTGAGAATTAGCAATTTCAACAATCCAGTATAACACTTCTGAAACATTGTACAATCACACAGCCTTCAAATGGCCATGAGACTTCCTGACTTTGCAGTGGCACTCAATCATGCCAGAAATTTCAGGTCCAGCTTATTTTGTGGGATCTTGTTTAGTCTTTATGAATCCCCAAAATATCTTTTGCTGATGTCCATGGATCCAAAATTAGAGAAGAACCTGTGTATGCCCTTCACAGAACATGACAGCGAAATTTCTCAATCAAGACCAAGTTAATAACTTGGGGTTCTTTAAGGGAGAATGAAATAAGGAATTCACAAACATAAGACATATTAAGATGTCATTGGCATGTGACATGATACCTCCCACTCTCAATTTCTGTATACTGGAAATACCTGAATGACAAGAGTTATGGTAAATAATAATAATTAATTTGGCATGACAACTATTCTATTTGAAAATTTCTGTGTCTCAATTGACATTCATCTTAGCATGGAATATCTACAGATAAAATACATTATTATAACAGTAATAATACTTAAGTGGGGGAAGAGACTAACAACTCATCACATGGGTATTGTGTATTCTTCTGTGATGGGACTGGATCAGATGCAGGTGACTTGAGTCTTGGGCGACATACAAAGAGCAGCGTATCACAGCAGCAGCTATCATTTATTTATTGCTTAATCAGTAGAAGTGTAGTTTATTTCATTTGCTCTCAAACAAAACTGCGGGATAGGTACTGCTATTCCTTTTTCATGTATAAGGAAACTGAGGAACAAAGAGGTTCACTGTCTTGGTCAAGGTCACAGAGCAAGTGGCCAAGCCAGGTGTGACTCATCTCTGATACCAGCACATACACTTCTCATGGGTCTTACTGGATCTTGTTTAAAAAAAAAAAATCTAAGAAACTTCAGTACATTGGGGTGATTGTTACAGAAGAAAATGTAAATTCTTTTTTTTTCTTAAGTATTGAATTTTGTTACAATATTGCTTCTGTTTTATGTTTTTTTCATTTTTTGGCCCAGAGGCATGTGGGATCTTAGCTCCCTGCCCAGGGATCAGACCCAGACACCCTGCATTGGAAGGAGAAGTCTTAACCGCTAGACCGCCAGGGAAGTCCTGAAAATGTAAATTCTTTCTTGTACTTTTTGAAAAAAATTCTGGAAAATATTAATATATTCCCCAATACTGAGGAAATAAATGGCAAAGCCTGGTTGGAGGGCAACTTGTGCATTTATGTCAAAAATTTTAATGTGCATATCATTTAACCCAGTAATTCTATTTTTAGAAATTTATACTTCAAAAGAAGTTTTACATAACATCACAACATACACACCCACTACATATATACTTATATACTTTTTACTGTATCCAGTTTTAGAAACCACTAAACTTATCTTAGTAGCAATACAAATATTTCCTTGAAAAAAAAGTTTTCCCCATTTGAGAGCTGTTGCCTGTGCTCCCTGCATCCTACTGAAAATACCACACTTTTGGCTAGATAGGATTCAATCAGAAGGCTTCACCACCCATGTCCCACATTCATATACGCATTGGCCCTGCCCAGCTTAAACTAGCTAAAGACTTGATTAACAAGAGTAACGTTTAATTTTGATCCATGTTTACACTAACAAAACTGGTTGGGGTGTTCTTTTCTTCTTTTTTCTTTTTGTTGTTTTGCCTTTTTATTTCATATCACTAGGATCTGTATCTTTAATGGTGATGGTCAGGGGATGATGTTTGGGAATCCCTTGACCTCAGTGCACAGGCAAACCTCAACCTCCCATTCTGAGGCTCTCTAGTCTATGGATATTAACAGTGAACTATCCCTCGCCCAACCTAAAGTAGGTTGTGACCACCACCAACGCTCCCACCAACGTGTCCATACTCACCTCCCCCATGGGGTGGTATCTGTTATAGGAATATGTCTCCAGAATCCTCCATGGGCTCACTACCTTATCCACAGCTTCTTTGTTGTGCTACAGATCTGCAAAGGGAAGAAATACAGACAAAAAGCAATGAAGAAACCAGGATAACATGAGGGTTGGAAGGTTGATGAAAAAGGTAGTAGGAAGCAATGTGCACAGCATTTTGAGGACAAAAGTCATTGTTGGAGTCTTGCCTCTGCAACTTACTAATTGTGAGACCTTGGGTACCATGGAGTCCCTCTGAACTGCAGTTTCGTCATCTGCAGTTTGAGGACAGCCATTCCCACTTTGCAGGGAGCCTTGGATAATTCAGCAAGATGTTGTAGATAAACACATTTTTAAATTTGTATAAGAAAGAATAGCTAAGATTTATTGAACTGAAACTTACTGCGAGATACTCACTGGGTTAAGCAATTTAAATCTCATTTACTTCTCTCAAAAACTTTAAGAGAAGATATTCTTATTATCCCCATTTCAGAGATGAGGAAATTGAGTCACAGGGAAAGTATTATTAGAATTTAAACCCTGACAGCCTGACTGAAAAGCCTGAAATATTAACCACAATACTGTAAATAATTGTAAGAATCTTTATGCAACAGTTTATTTTTTATAAATAAACTTTATTTTTTTAGAGAAGTTTTAGGTTCACAGCAAAATTGGATGAAAAATACTGACAGTTCCCATATACCCGCTGTCCACCCCCCACCCACCCCCATGCACACAACCTCCCCCAATATCAACATCCCACACCAGAGTGGTACATTTTTTATAATAAACGAACCTACATTGACACATCATTATTTCCCAAAGTCCATAGTTTACATGAGGGTTCACTGTTGGTGTTATACTTTCTATGGATTTGAACAAATATATAGTAACATGTATCCACCATTATAGTATCATACAGAAGAGTTTCACTGCCCTAAAAATCTTCTGTGGTCTGGCAATCACTGATCTTTTAATTCGTTTTGCCTTTTACAGAATGTTATATAGTTGGAATGCAGCCTTTTCAGATGCAGCCTTTTCAGATTGGCTTCCTTCACTTAGTAATATGCATTTAACTTTCCTCCATGTCTTTTTAATGACTTGATAGTTCATTTCTTTTAGTGCTGTATAATATTCCATTGCCTGGATTACCACAGTTTATTTATCCATTCATCTACTGAAGGACATTTTGGCTGCTTCCAAGTTTTGGCAATTATGAATAAAGCTGCTATAAACACCTGTGTGCAGCGTTTTGTGGACATAAGTTTTCAATTCATTTGGGTCATACCAAGGAGCATGACTGCTAGATCATATGGCAAGAGTATGTTTAATTTTGTAAGAAACTACTAAACTGTCTTCCCAAGTGACTGTGCCATTTTGCATTTCCTCCAGCAATGTTCCCTATGCTTACTTTCCATTTGCATATCTTCTCTGGTGAGGTGTCTGTTCATGTCCTTTGTCCATTTTTTAAATCAGGTTGCCTCTTATTGCTGAGTTTTAAGAGTTCTTTGTATGTTTTGGATAACTGTCCTTTATCAGATGTATCTTTAGCAAATATTTTCTTTCACTTTGTAGCTCAACTTCTCCTTCTCCCGACATTGGCTTTTGAAGGAAGAAAGTTTTTAATTTTAATAAAGTATAGGTTATCTGTTATTTACTTCATCGATCATGCCTTTGGTGATGTATTTAAAAAGTCATCACTATTCCCAAGGTTATCTAGGTTTTCTCCTAAGTTATCCTCATTTTACATTTAGTTCTAAAATCCATTTTGACTTAATTTTTTGTGAAGAATGTAGGTCTGTGTCTAGATTCACTTTGTGTGTGTGTGTATGTCCAGTTGTTCCAGGATCATTTATTGGGTTTTGTCAAATGTTTTTGTCTGCATTTATTGATATGATCATGTGATTTTTTATTTTTAGCCTATTGATGTAATGGATTATGTTAATTGATTATCAAATGTTAAACTAGTCTTGCATATATATCTGGGATAAACCTCCGTCAGTGGACATGGTGTATAATTTTTTTATACTTTCTTTGATTCAATTTGCTAATATTTTGTTGTGGATTTTTACATATATGTTCATGAGAGATATTCGTCTATAATCTTTTATTCCTCGTATTGTCTTTGCCTGGTTTTGGTATTTGGGTAATGTTGGCCTCAATGAATGAATTAAAAAGTATTCCTTCTGCTTCTATCTTTTGGAAGAAATTGTAGAGAATCAGTATAACTTTTTCCTTAAATGTTTCATAGAATTCACCAGAAACCCTCTGGGCTTGGTGCTTTCTGTTTTGTAGGGTTATTAATTATTGATTCAATTTCTATAATACATATAGACCTATTTAGATTACTATTTATGGTCTATATTTTGACAAACCATTTAATAAAGCTATTCAATGCCTCGCCTTTATGCCAGATATTGTGCCAGCACAATCATGCACATTATATGATTTATTTGCATTACAGCCCTGTGAAATGTTATCGTCCATGTTTTACAAATAAGGAAACTGAAGCCAAGGGAAATTAAGTAACTTGCAAACAATCACAGAGCTAGTAAGTCATACAACTAGTCCTCTCTCTAAGTCACACAAATGTTTGATAAATGTTCTAATTCCCTTGATAAAAGACTTTACCTAAGCAAAAAGTAGGGTTATATTTTCATTATGAGAGCATACCAACTGATCATTCATTTACCCAATAAATATATTTGAAGTGATTTCCGTGTTAATAGCACTAGGGTGTGAGATTTTGGAGAAGCTGAGGTGTAAACTTTTGGATAGTGACAAGGAAACATGTTAGAGATCTAAGCTAATGTTTCAATGACTTTCATCTATTTTCCCACATTTTTCTCTCTGAACATTCTGGTATTATATTTACCCTTTCCCTAAACCTTCATTTTTTAACCTGTAAAATGAGAATAATAACACCTTACCAAAGGATTCTTATGAAGTTTAAATAAGTTAATCTACGTTTAAAAATAAGCAAATTTCTGGAACCTAGTTAACCCTTAATAAATGTTAAAACACAGTAGTAGTTCAAAACAAAGCTAAGTAAAAGCCCTATTTTGCTGCAATAACATTGAAAATAAAAATTACATTGAGAATAATTTAGCCATCTAACTAGTGTTATCTTCAAACAATACCAAGCTACAAAATATTTTGATAGAATTAATAGAAACTCAAGTTCTATTCACATCTACATAACTCCAGTAACTGGATTGACTACATTTTAATTTTTTAATCTGTTCAATTAACACCATGTATCATAATCACCCACTCTAATGGAAATCAATTTCTCTACAAAATTCCATGACTTTAATTGTTACTAATATTAATAATAATAATCTGACTTTAGCAGAAGCTTTTTATCTTCAAAACTGTAAATGTTTTATTGTTAAATGAATTTTACTTTGTTTAGCTTGTCCACGAAAAGCTCATGATGTAGGATTGTCTAGATAGTTAGTTAAAACAATGAAATGAATTTTAGAAGGAGACTACAAGAAACAAATGTCATTAAAATTGTAATAGTTGAGGAGCAATATGCTTTTCCATGTTTTTCAGGGATTCGTTTCTAACATTTATCATTTATTTGATTTTTTAAAAGTAAGCTAGAGTGCTTCAGAATGAGAAATTTCAATATAAAAATATATACAGGTGTAATATGTTGAGGCTGATTATTTACAAAACATATTATCATTTTATAAGGAAAATACATACATCCCTTGGTGTGTTTAAAATTCAAAAAAATTCAATTTACACATAAATTTTCAGGAGTACATTTCGTGTGCTTATCAAATAATCAGCAAACATATACCTATTATAATAACACTAGTTAACCATTATTGGGCACTATATTCTAAGCACCAGTCAAAGCATTTGCATTGTTATCTTAATTCATTCAACAACCCAATCGGCACTTGGTACTCTTTGCAAAAGTGATAATAGATAATAGTAGTAGTAATAGAACATAGATTTCTTTCATACAGAGCTTAAAATCCACTTAAGGAAGTGAGACATAAACACATGAAAAGCAAAATAACTTCACCATCAAATAATAAAACGTGAGGTATGATAAGCTAGAGCCTGATTACCAATTAAAGGTGCGCTAAATGTACTGAGGACAGGAGAGGGAGAATTCCAAACTGAAGTATAGCCAGTAATAATAACAACCAACATTTTATAAGCAATTATGCATGCCAGAACTGTTCTAAGTTATATATATATATATCATATGATATATATATATATATTCCTACATATAATTCTAACAAAAATCCTTAAGGTAAAAACTATTATCCCAGGGTGTTGGGGATTTTTTTTTTCTGAAGATTTTGTTACAGAAGCTAAATTATACTTTTACTATACTCTAGAAAATAAGCATAAAATATTTATTAGCCTATTTTTATAAATTGCCTATCTCTGATTTGGACTGCATAGAAAGCAAAATAAGTATCAGCATTATAAATTCATCGGGAAATAGTTTCAGTGCTTTTTCAGAATGGAGAGATGAGAGGAAATGAAGCAAATGAGAAGAGTCTTCTCAGCCCTTCCTTCTTTCTCATTCCTCACACTGGCTGTCCTGCCAGGAAATGAGATCACTGGAGATGCTTTCACGCGACATTGGGACCAGGGATGGTGGCTGCTCAGAGCGACGCGGTTCCTTTCTTCACATAGTTCAGCAAACGTTCAAGTCTGTCTTTATCACCGTCATCTACTCAGTGCCGTAGGAAAGTGACTACAGTAAAAAGCAGTCCTGGCAGCTGGTGGATTCTTGTTTCAATTGGGCTGGTATTCCCAGGCAATTTCACAATATGGAGGGGAATAAATTAAAGGTAACTGGGCACCATCAAGCACCAACATTTGGCTTTCCCCCAGCTAATGTCTGCAAAATGTGTGAGTATGATGCCTCCTAAGTCCAGCACTGAATGACTGGGTCCATATAATATGCAAAAAAAAAGTGATCCGTGTGGGATTTGAGTGAAAACCCTGATATCATTTTAACATGAAATTAAACACAATACTTAAACCTCAAAACCCCAAATACTTAGTTCAAACAATGTTTAAACCGTAAACCTAGAAAAGGCTGTTCCCTGTTTCTAGGCAATTACTTGGGTGATGCATAATACATGTAGAGAAAGAAGGAAAAAACTGGCTAATCCCCCAAATTACCACCAGTCTCATCTCACCGACCAAGTGAAAAGATTATTGTACTTTGTGTATTCTTTTTTAATAGGAATTCATAAAATGTTTAACAGAGAAAATGATGCTTTGGTGGTACATTATTAATAAATACTGTACATCAAAGATTGCCTGATGAAATTTTGACTGGAATGTAAAAAGAGGCAAAAAGACCTAATGAATATTGAGGAAAATTTTGTATTTTAAATACTTAGGAAACAGTTACATGAATATTTCATGATAGTAATGTATTTTCAAAGTTTTTTTTTTCCTTCTTACAAAATTAACATATGCTTATAAGTGGAAATTTTAGGAAGTATGGAGAGGAGAAAAATAAAAAAGAGAAGGAAGGAATAATCCTCTACAATCCCACCTCCCTGAGTTAACCACTGTTGATATTTTGGCATATTTCCTTTCAGTCTGTTATCTGTGCATATTTTTTTCATAAACACAGTGCAAATTATACCTATATATAATTTTGTATTCCCTCCTTTTTTATTATATATTCTACCAGAGACATTTTCTCAAACCAATAAAAACTCTTTATAAACATTATTTTTAATGACTGCATAATGTTTGACAGTAAGTATATATTTCATAGCATCATGCACATAAATATTGTCATCTATGCTGGATATTAAAGCCATTTCCCTTTTTGGTTTTATCTTATAGTAAATAATTCTGGAGTTAATGATTTTTTGCTCATTTCTGATTATTTCCTTGAGTTACATTCCAGGAATGGGACTAGTAGGTCAGAGAGGATGAACAATTTCAAATCATTTGATTCATAGTGCTAGATCCTAAATGATTCTACAGATTTACACTTTTATTGGGAGTATGCAATATATATAACAGGCCACCTCCCTAAATGATCAAGGGAGAGATTACAAAGCTTGTCATGCTTGTTAGATTTTCTAGACTAGTATTACGTCACACATAGTAAATAAAGAGTATCAAAACTTGCAGCTAATCTATGTTTTGAGTTGGTAAGAGCCATATAAAAGTGGACATTATTTTATATCAGTAAATAATAATGAAAATGAAAATAGTCAAAAGGAGCAGAATTAGCAGATTTGAAATGTTTCCCTCAAGTGCAGTCATGAGCAGCTGTCCACTGGAAGCCATCTTGTCTGAGTCCCACTAAGCCAAATCACTTCCATAATTTAACCTGGGCTTGGCAATCATTTTCTTAAACAAAAGTTTTATGCATCTTCTTTGTAGAATATTTGTAAAATGAAGAATAGTTGAGGGAAAGGAAAAAAAATTATCAAAGAGAGCAATGTCCATTTTAGCACATATTTTTTCTTTTATTTTTTAAAGTATTTTGATACATTTTGTGTTCTGCATCTTTCTTTCAGCATAAAACATGTCTTTCCCCATGCTATTAAAATTTTCATAATTATTATTCTAATGGATAAATAATATCTCATTGTCATATATGTCACATATTGACATTTGCATAACTTAATATGGGGCACTTAGGTTGTTTCCAAATATTACAATATTTAATATCTTGTTTATCTTGTACATAAAGCTATATTCCAGTGCATACAATTCTTTCCATAGTTTGTTTTCTCAGTGTAAATTTCCAGAAGCAGGGATACTAGGCCAAAGGATGTGTAAGTTTTAAGGCTTGTGATATTTTTAAATAAGTTAATTTTTTTTCAATCAAAGCCCTGTGACCTACATAAGTCTTTGCCATTGATCTATGAAGAATCTCAGAAGAGAAAATAAATGCAGTATCTATATGAAACCAAGTAAACTAATGGAAAACGCGAGATGGCGATGTCCAAACAGCTTTAGGCATCACATAGATCCTGGACTCCCTTTATAGATCTGAAATCAGACTGTCTATGAAGCTAAGGGACAGGCTGAGGTCGCACAGTTAGTCTGGGCCAAAAATTGGAGTGGATTTCTCTGTTCCGTGAGACCAAGCTTGTTGCAAGATTCGTTTAACCATGAAACAAAAGAGGAAATACTGTTTATAAACACACATGCCTGATGAGATATACCAAATGTGAAGAATAATAAACTATGTATGAATAAAGGAAAATACACTTTATATGGAAACCACACACACACACACACACACACACACACACACACACACACAATGTTTAATATATATTATATATTCAAAGAAGTTATTCATTATGAATAGGGAAAGAACACACAAAAAAGCAAATGACAGGAGCAACTTATAAACCAGCAAAATGAGTAACAAATAAGACAAGACACTTAGCCTTATAAGAAATCAACAAAATGAAAAATAAGTCAACTGTAGGTATTTTTCACCTGTCAAATGGGCAAATGCTTAAAAAGTGCTTTCATACACTATTGTTGGAAGCGTAGACATATGCAACTTTTTTTAGAGGGCAACTTGGCAACGTGTAGCAAAATTCTTGAATTTTTCTAAGCTTCTAACCCAGTGCTTCCACTTCTTATAACTTATATTAGGGAAATAATCAAAGATTTTCAATAACAGCAAAAAAATTGTCATGTAGCTGGATCCTCATCATGGTATCATGTGTAAAAATGACAGTAGAAATCAACTCTGCCTTATAGGGTATCAATGATGGAATATTATTAGTGATTGCATTATGTTTTCAATAAATTATGAATGTCATAGGAAAATTTTTATAATACAACTTAACTGAAAAATTCTTGTAATAGTACTATATACATAATTAGCTAAGTAGCTATCTACTCAAAAACATTAACAGTAATTATGTCTTAGTGAAATTGTTTGGTAGTTTTAAACATTTTAAACATTTTCTCAATAATTAGAATAGTGTGATTTACCAATTGAGAAACTATGTAAATGAGGGATATGGAATTTTCATTACAATTTTCTTTTTTCAATTACAAAACATGACATATTTATTGGTATTTATCATACATTGTGCTAGGAAATCTTTTTTAGATATCTACTCATTTATTTAAAGATTATTAGAGTAATGTTCAATGATAAAACTTCAGTGATTATTATTCTTATCTCGTCGTGGTGTGTATGGGTAGGAAGAGGGGAGAATCGAGCTGCATTGATCTTGAAAAGAAGCTTTCCACCTAGACAATCTAAATCATACCAGTCAGCCCCTCCTCCAGCTTCACACTCACCTATCATATTCCAGCTCCCCAGGAACCAGCAACCTCAGGAGGTACAAGTTTCCAAGCAGAGGCTTCATTCTTCTGCAAAGAGAGCTAGAAAATCCTGTGCTTCTCCTGCAGGTCATGTGTCTCTGAGAATGCATAAGGGCATAGGCTTCCACAATCAAGATGAGATAAATCAGTTAGTGGATGTCTCAGCAGAAATAATGTGAGCAGTTGCTTCATTAACTCCACCATGTCTTCAAACAACTTTTTTTAATAGTGGAAAACTATTCGATTTTTTTTTCTCCTCTAAAACCAAATTAACTGAAGCTCTTGGCTCCCCCAAATCCAGAAAAATGTTTCTTCCCTGTAAAATCTTCAGTTCTAGGAATCCCCATCACCTATATTCAAGAGCGGACCACTCCTGCTCTTTCCTCCACACAGGTCGCTGGGTATAATAGGGGGTGTGTCTTCTGCTCTGGTCATGGTGGGCACAGTTATTATTCAGGATCTTTACTCCCTTCTGCAATCTAAGGCTTTATTTAGGGTCAAATGCTTTCTCTTGTTCTGATGGACAACATCACCAGATTCTTAAACAAACCCAGGTCTCTCCATATCTGAGCAGTGAAAATATTTTAAATCCTTTCCCAAGTGGATTTCCTCACACATTCCTCTCACACTGTCAGACACTGCTCCACAAACCCCTGTTTTTAGACAAACCCAGGATATGCCTTGAATCTCAAACAGTGACCAGTAAAATAAAGGCTCAAGCGAAGATCACTGTTAAAAGTCTAATTGAGCAAGGCAAACTTTAGTGCAGAGAAGTAGAGGATTTAAACAGAGTTCGTAGCATTTGGGGATCTATCTAAATCCTTTGCCCTCTATGATCATTCATCTATTCATTCATTCTACAAAAATGTAATGAGTACTCACTATATACCAGGCAGGCACTGTGACAAAAGATCAATACAAGATGAATGAGTTCCTTTATGGAATTCACAGGAGAGTTGAGAGAAGAATAAACAAGTTCACAAACAATACAATTTTAAGTAAAGGGAATCAAATTAAGGAGAGATATGGGCCAAGAATATATTGAGATAGAGAGGCCATTCCTGACTGATGTAAGAAAATTGTTTTTTCATAAATTTATTTGTTTATTTATTTAGCTGCATTGGGTTTTCATTGCTGGGCCTGGGCTTTCTCTAGTTGTGGCAAGTGGGGACTATTCTTCGTTGCGGTGCACAGGCTTCTCATTGCGGTGGCTTCTCTTTGTTGAGGAGCACGGGGGCTCTAGGCGTGCCAGCTTCAGTAGTGGTGGCGCACGGGCTCGGTAGTTGTGGCTCACAGGCTCTAGAACACAGACTCGGTAGTTGTGGCACACGGGCTTTGTTGTTCCCCGGCATGTGGGATCTTCCTGGACCAGGGCTTGAACCCGTGTTCCCTGCGTTGGCAGGCGGATTCTTAACCACTGCGCCACCAGGGAAGTCCCAACGTAAGACAGTTTTTGAGTTAAGTTCTAAATGATGTGGTTCATGCAAAGGTCTGTAGAAAATGTGTTTTAGGTAAAGAGGGCCACGTGTGTAGGGAAGAAATGAGCTTGCTGTGACTGAGGAACTGGAAGAAAACCAGAGTTTAAGTGAAGTGGGAGCAAGGGAGAGTGATGGAAGATGAGGTCAGAGAGATAGGCAAGGGCCAGATCTTGTAGAAACCATGGGCCAGAGTATGGACTTTGCATTTTATTCTAAGAAATCATTGAACAGGTTTTGTTTTGATATTTTAAAAGATTCCTCTGGCTGCTGCTTAGAGTGTAGGCAAGAGAGGGACAAGAATGAAGACAGAAAGACCAACAGGGAGGGTACCACAGCATTCCGGGGGAGAGATGATGGGGCCTCGGGCTAGATGTCACGGGTTACATGGAAAGCCATGGTCACACTGGGAATTTATTTTAGAAGCAGACCTGACAAATATGCTTATGGAATGAATATAAAATGTGAGGGAATTAGGGAACTCAAGAACAACTCCTAGATTGGGGAGCCAAGAAATGGACTGAATAGTGATGACTTTTTATGAGATGGGGGAAATCAAAGGAGGAGTGGTGGAAGGAGGAGGGAATGGAAAGTCAAGACTTCGATTCAGAGCTGATAATTTTGAGATGCTTCTTAGACATCCAAAGGATTGCTAAGTGAACAGCAGCTACTGCAGGCTGGACTTCAAGGGGAAGACGGAGCGAAGTGCATACATTTGTGACTCTTCAGGTTGTAGGAGGTGGTGTTTGAAGCCACGCGGAGGAGCCCTTCTACAGTCCAACTATAGACTGAGAAGAGAAGAACAAAGACTGAGGCGCCAGTCAGTCTAACATTTAGAGATCTTGGTAGAAGAGAAGAATCCAGCAACGGAAGTTAGGAAAGAACAGCCAGTGAGGTAGGTCGAAAACTGAGACACTGTTGTGTCCCAGAAGCCAAGTGAGAAAAGCATTTTGAGAAAATGAGAGTTACCCACTGGGCCAGATGCTGCTAAGGGGTCGAGTCAGATGAGGACCGAGAACTAGCAATCTTATCCAGCAGGATAGAGGCTTATGGAGACCTTCAAAAGAGCAATTTCAGTCAGCACGTGGCATGTGATAGGGACAAAAGTCAACTGGAGTTGGTTAAAGAAGGAAAGGGAAGAGAGTGAAGGTAGGGAGTATAGAAAATTCCAACAGCATGCCTCCATTGCCTAATGGAAACTTCATTGTTAATGATCTTCCTTCATCCCCTGGGGATATCATCAATTTGGAAATCTTGGATAATTTTGATGGTGTTCAGAATGAGGGGTAAAATGCAACACCCATGATATTTTTTCCCTCACCCAAATGCAGGGACAGGGCAGCCACCTGGGTAGTCCTAACTCTGAAGCAAGGGTTTTCATGGAGCTGTGAGTTCCACAGAGGGAGAGAGAAACATAGTAAACAAGAGTGTTTTCTTTCCATGCTTCTGCTAATTAGAATGGGACCCAGGCGGACTCGGGGATGCATGGGTAGTTTAAATAAAGAGTAAGATTAAATAGGCTTTTCTCCTCAACAGATATGTAATCCCATGCAGTTATTCTGAAGAAAAAATAAATAAATAAAAATAAGAAGTGCATGAAATGCACAGTCAAATAATACATACAAATTGTTAGTGGAAACCTGCAAATAATTTTTAAGAATATGTTGTGAGGACATTTGGCAGTACTACACAGGATTTTCCTAACAGTCACTGATAATTGGATTTTCCTCAATTCCCCATGTCCAGTTTCACTGTAATATGTGGTCTCCTGCCAAAGATTATCTTTCTGCAAACTTATGGAATGCAGGCAGTAACCTAGAGCACTCAGGGCCAATGAACTGGAGCCATGGTCTCCTCACTAACAAGGGTGAATTAGTATCACATCTTTTCTGGCGATTAGATTATCTCTTATTGTTGTGTTTTATAGCTTTCTAGTTAGTCATCTCAACACAATTTATTCACAATAATAGTGTTTTTTTATTATTGCTGTTTTATAGTTCTTATAGCAGTAAAATTTATTCTCAACTCTATTATTATAATATTCAACTACTAATGGAATTCTAGTTTTTATTTGATTGTGTTTTAAAGCCATAACAATAAAATTTACTTCCCAAAAATATTACTGTAAGTTTTATGTTCTCTAAACTGCTTGATAGAAAGCCTGCAAACACATGTGGTTCTTTAAACCACGTGAGAGAAGGCCTGCCAAAATGTAAACATTGTTCTAGGAAGAAAAAGGGGCGAATTGGTTCCTATTATCATGAGATCCATGTTCTTTGATAGAATAAGTAATAGAGTGAAAGAAATGGAAAGGACCTTAGAGACTGCTGATTTAGAGGAAGATTAAATTCTAACTGGCAGGAATATTTGTTTAAAAAATCAACCTGTTTTTATTACCGGCCAAGCCCTAGAAAATCCTACCATCTTTATCCTCCAAAATAATGTGCTCTCAAAATGATGCCCATGATTTCTCATGGCTGGTTGCCATATTAGTTGGAGAGAGGCTGCTATGCAATATTATAATCAAAGGCCAGGGTCATTTTGAAGGTAAACAGCTTCAGGGACTTGAGAACTGGAAGGCATACAGCCAAGCCATCTTACCACCTCTGCTGCTCCTTAGTTGTTCTCGTTGACCCTGAACCCAAGGACATGGCAGTGAACCTCATCACTTGCCATGCACCTTTTATGCCTGCAGCACTGAGCCAAAGGGCTGTAACTTAAATTACAGTCTATACAGTGGAGCGAAGTACCATTAGGACTCAAGAAAGAGGTGTGCCAGACTGGCAGAAATTAGGGTTTAGTAAAGAATTTGGTCTCAGATGTATGGTAAGTTAACTTACGGTCACAAGCAGGAATGGAAGCAGACTAGGTGGAGATACAGGCTAGTTGTCACTCAGAGGTCATGGCTGTGGTAGCAGAAGTGGCAAACTCTAGATTTGGTTTCTGAGGCAGCACCAAGCATAGGTTCTTGTTCGGACAGGAGTTTCAGAGATTGCTCCTGTCATCTAAGGCAATAGGTGGGTGGGTGAGTGGATGGGTGGATGGATGGGTGGGTCTATGGATGCATGAATCTGTATCCACATCGTTGTCGGATGGCATAAATCCATTGGCTAGATCTACCCTCTCATGTCTACTGCTAGGCACTTAGCTTTCTTTGATAAGCTGCTTCCCTTTGCCCAGCTATAGCAGTGGTGGGAGTGCCCACATTGAGATCTACTTTCAGGCATTAAACTGCTGCCTATCTGTGGCTGTGGGTGTCTCCAGAATCAGACTGAGTATTCAAGCTGAAACTAAGTGCTACCTGGACATCCCCCAACCAATGACTGAACACAGGAGTGGCACAAGAGCTCTCCCTTGTACCTACGCAGGATTCTTCTGTGAGCACTCTTCTTGGAGCTGCACCACAGTCTGAAGCTCATTCTATCCACTTCTCCTTTCTTCCCCTTCTCTTTAACAGGTATCTGACCTGAACTGAGGTCTGAAGGTTCTTCTTGCCTTCTCCTTCTTCCTGTGCCTTTTATCTTTCACAAGGACTACCTCCTATAAATCTCTTCCAGTTCCAATTTGATCTTGGCATCTGCTTCTCAGATGATCCAGCCAACACACCAACTGGACTCCAGGACAAATGAAAGTAAGTAAATACAATTGGCCTTGAGTCATAAGGATCTTTCTGGACTTTGTGAATAATTAGATGCAGAAACAAAACTGAGGTATGGAAGAACAAGAGCAATCCTACATGGCCAGGTCTTATCAGGCTTCCAAAACACAG